TTCTAATTTCTAATTTATTCTAATTTTCTTATGTCCTCCTAGCATCTTTTAAATAATCTTCCTATGTTTGCAGAATTTCCCACATAATAAATTTTGCTTCTCCAAGTTGAAGCCAAAACTCTGTCTCCAAACTTTCACTGCAGTTAAGGCACAGACATGGTCAACCTTTCTTAACAAGACACACCTTTAAGACATCATTGTGGCCACGTGCCATGGCACAGGTTCTTCACAGAATCCTAGCTCTTTGGGAGACCGAGGTAGGAGGATTGGAAGTTTGAGGTGAGCTGAATAACTTAGTGATGAACTGTTTCAAAATAAAAAGTAAAAATGGCTGAGGATATATGGGCTGGGGTTGTGGCTCAGCGGTAGAGCACTTACCTTGCACGTGCGAGACCCTGGCATCGTTTTTTGGAGCGGGTATGTGAAAAACTAGACCCATGTGGATTCTTCCTGTTGGTCAGGAATGTCCCCAGGGGTGATATCTCCCAGCAGCAGATCTGGCATCTAGTCCCCGATATCGTGTGTGCTCAGTGGCATCATAAGATGAACAACCAGTCCACTTGATAAGGTTTGGGTTCCTAGTTACCTAATTTCCAAGCCTGACTAATTCTGGTCTTTTAGAGATTCTGGGAACCTTCCATAAGTTCTAAACAAATTATAGTACTCAAATAAATGGGCCCGGTAATGACACACACAGGAGTGTTGAATTTGAAAAAAAAAAAAAAAAAAAAGGCTGAGTCTCAGAAGGAAAAGGTGGTTTTCTCAGGCTGTGAACAGAAAAAAACTCAAGAAGTTGTGGAACTCTCAAGAACTTCAGATTCTCTTCTGTGTCCTTCTTTTACACATCTGATGTTTCAGCTGATTTTTTTTGCGTTTTTAGCCTTGATACATTTATATGTATTTGTACTCTCTAATATAAATGGTTCAACTTCCTTAATAAGTAAATGAGCATAAAACAATTTCTTTTCGTTAAGATAAAAATTGCAGACATCTGATTTTACAAGGAACCATGTATTTTTCTTGACATTATTTCTCTGCCTGGCAGAGCCTATAAACCTATGCTTAGTGCAGAGCATGAATGTGGTAAATGGGCAACATTTTCTGAGAATCACACACACACACACAAAGCAAAAAAGGCTTCAGCCTCCATTATTGGATAGTGCCTAAACAGAACTGTGTATGAAATTATCCCTCTAGCTGTTTCAGAAAATCCTGTACCAAGTGGGGACGGAAATGAGCAGTTTTATTGCCCAGGGATGTTCTTCATAGAATGCAGAGCAGCGACTTCCCTTTAAATGTCCTCCCAGGCTTGTTTCTAAAGTTATAAATGAATAATAAATTTAGCCTGAAAGTTGAGTTGGTCCCAAAATGAACAGGACACTTCTTTCCCTCCTACCTTTGGATTCAATAATTAAACATAGAAAAATATGGGTTTGATCACACACACCTATAATCCCAGCCTCTTAAGAAGAAGAGGTGGGAGGATCACTTGAGTCTAACAGCTGGAGGCCAACCTGAGCGACATAGAGAGAGACCTGTTTCAAGAAGAAGGAGGAGGAGGGGTAGGAGGA